AAGTTATTGCATATATATATATATATATATATATATATATATATATATATATATATATATATATATATATATATATATATATATATAACAGGACACCTAGGGGAGAACCCATGGCGACCCCATCTACTTGCTTATACATGTGCCCATCCGGGCTCAAGAAGGGTGCCTCTTTAGTACAATAGTAGTAGATGGGGTCGCCATGGGTTCTCCCCTAGGTGTCCTGTTTGCAAACTTCTACATGGGTACCATCGAGCAAAAAGTCTTAGTCGAAATGAACTTGAAACCGGCCATATACTGCAGGTATGTTGACGACATTTTTACACAGGTACCTGATGTCAGACATCTGCAGGAGCTGAAGGAGGCATTTGAGCAGAGTTCCGTGCTGCGTTTCACTTACGAGATGGAAAAGGATGGGAAGCTGCCCTTTCTAGATGTAACAGTCATGGAAAAGAGCGGAGGTTTCCACACTGCAGTCTACACTAAGGAAACGAACATAGGAATGTGCCTAAATGCCAACAGCGACTGCCCAGACAGGTACAAGAGGAGTGTTGTTAACGCTTATGTCGACCGTGCTCTCAGCCACAGCTCAGAATGGAAGCAAGTCGACGAAGAACTCTGTAGGGTAAGGCAGGTCCTAGTCAACAACGGCTTCTCCAATGGTTTCGTCGAAGACATCATAAGAAGGAAAGTGAAAAGCCATGCAACCTCTGAAGAGACAACCAACACAACACCTATACCCCCTATTAGACTATTTTACAGGAACTTCTTTTCAACAGCTCATAAAACGGAGGAAAGGGTCCTAAAAGATATTGTTAATAGAAACGTTATCCCTACAGACAAAAATCAGAGGATACAACTGACGATTTACTATAAAACCAGAAAAACGGCCAGCCTACTCATGAGAAACTCTCCAGACACAAAGCAGAACGCTTTAAAAGAGACCAACGTCGTCTATGCCTTCAAATGCCCTCTTGGGGACTGTAAGCTCCAAAAAAAACAGTATATAGGCAAGACAACAACATCTCTTTCTAGGCGTTTAACGATGCATAAGCAACAGGGCTCCATTAAGGAACATATAATCTCTTCCCACAACCAAACCATCGCCAGAGAAATCCTAGTAAACAACACAGAAATCATCGATAGATACAGCGATAGCAGGTGACTTGACGTCAGCGAGGCTCTACACATCAAGAAGTCAACACCAGCAATCAACAGCCAATTAATGCACAACTATATTCTACCCACCTCAAGACTCCGCTCCAATATAGAAGCATCAAGAAATATGGACCAATAGGCTTTCTACAAATCACTTCCATTCAATACCCATTGTTTCGTGTTCTGTCTTGTGTTTAGGAATATAATACCCTATTAATACCACCTCACCCCATCCACCTCACTCAAATGTAGATATAAACAAATCGAACATGTGTAAGTTCTATTCAGTTGTGTATGTGTAAGCTAAAGTCTTTGAAAATGTAATAAGTTTTACGAAACGCGCTCAAGTGTCGTGTCAGACTAGAAATAAAAATGAATTTTGGAGAATTGATTTTTGAATTACCACCAACAGTGAAAAGAAACGTACGAAAGATCGAGAAAATTCGTGTTAGAATTATTAATCTTACTTTTTCGGTCATATTTAATAATATATGTCTACAGGAAAGACTGCTACCAAAATATACTAATATATATATATATATATATATATATATATATATTGGTGTATACTGGCAGCAGGTTTTCATTTATACATGTTTCATTGAATATGACTGCATATTCTGTATAGATTATTTTCTGGTTTAGGGCTTCTATCCCTCTGATTAGTGCTTTTGTATCTGGGTTTAATTGGAAGAGGAGTTCTCCAAAAATCATGTTCGTTCGAGGTGAAGAAAAAGATAAATAACTGTAGAATGTATTACAATTATTATAAAATTTACACAACGTTTCGAACCTACATGGACATGGTTCATTTTCAAGTGATGTTACAGTACCGGACATTATATTTATATTATTAGTGGGTCTGGTGAATACAAGTGGATCGAACGATGGGGTGAGGTGTAGACAAATGGATCGAACAGTGGGTATACATTTGGGTATAGAATAAGGCATAAAGGAGAAAAGAGTAGAATAAAGCTAAATAGGGTACGAAACACATACAAAGATTAATCAGGTGTAGTGGGCCAATTATGTTGAGCAATGTCTTCTATGTTGGCATCATTATGTTCCGGTCTTGTTCTTACTCTCATGCTGGGTAGAGTAAATAGTTCCGTAATTTGGGTATTCATGGCAGGTTGTTCTATTTTTATGTAGATTGCTTCAAGAATTTGTAATCTTATTACATCTTGGGTTTTGTCTATTATACAAGTGTTTTTATTCAGCTTTTCTCTTGCTAGGGTGATGTCATGGGCTTGTCTCATGTGATTTCTGGAGGAACCGGATTGAAGATGACAGGTCAAACGCCTCGTCCGCTTGGTTGACGTCATACCTATGTACTTAGATTGAAGGTTACACCCTTCGTGGGGGCAGATGTACTTGTATACAACGCTTGACTGCTGTAAAGGGTTCTCCGTCGGCTTCAGGCTGCTTTTAATAAGGAGGTCGGTAGTCTTCTTTGCTTTATAGAATATGCTTATAGAATTTATAGAATATGCTTATAGAATATATAGAATTTAATTTTATAGAATAATCAGCCAAATACCAACTTCATCCTACCACCTGGCAAAAAGACTTAAAGAACTCCTAACTCCATACACTCCAAGCAACTATAGTCTACAATTTTCAGCAGATTACCTAGAAATAATCAAAACTACACAGCCCAAAGAAATTATTGCTTCACTGGACGTCGAATCCCTATTTACAAACGTCTCGGTCGACACCACCATAGAAATGATTCTCGACAGAGTATACAGAGACGAAAGCAGCCTCAAATTAGACATACCCGAGCCACACTTGAAGAGCCTCATTCTCCAACATTGACCCTCTTCACTCCCCTCCCCCCATGCTTGTCCTCATCCTCTCATTTCTCTCTCTCTCTCTCTCTCTCTCTCTCTCTCTCTCTCTCTCTCTCTCTCTCTCTCTCTCTCTCTCTCTCTCCAGCTCTT